CCAGTATAGTATCACACACAGTATTTTCACTGCCCTGAAAATCCTGTCTGCTCTGCCTATTCATCCCCTCCTCCCTGCTATCCCCTGACAACCACTGATCTCTTCACTATCTCCATAGTTTTGCCTTTTCCAGAATGTCATATGGTTGCAATCACACAGCATATAGTCTTTTCAGATTGGCTTCTTTCACTTAGTAACATGCATTTAAGTTCCCTCCATGTCTTTTCATGGCTTGATAGCTCATTTCTTTTTAGTGCTGACTAATATTTCCTTGTCTGAAAGTACCAGTTTGTTTATCCATTTACCTACTGAAGGCATCTTGGTTGATTCCAAGTCTTGGCAGTTATTAATAATGATGCTATAAACATCCATGTGCAGTTTTTTGAGTGGATGTAAATTTCTCCTCCTTTGGGGTAAATACCAAAGAGAGCAATTGCTATTATATGGTAACAGTATGTTTAGTTTTGTAAGAAACCGCCCAAGTGGCTGCAGCATTTTGCATTTCCACCAGCAGTGAATGAGAGTTCCTGTTGCTCCACATCCTCGTCAGCATTTGGTGGTGTTAGAGTTCTGGATTTTGGCCAGCCTAATAAGTGTGTAGTGGCATCTCATTGTGGTTTTAATTTGCAATTCCCTGATGACTTATGATGGGAACATTTTTTCATATGCTCATTTGCCATCTGTATATCTTCTTTGGTGAGGTGTCTGTTAAGGTCCTTGACCCATTTTCTAATCGGTTTGTTTGTTTTCTTAATGCTCAGTTTTAAGAGTTGTTTGTATATTTTGGATAATAGTCCTTTATCAGATGTGCCTTTTGGAAATATTTTCTCCCAGTCTGTAGCTTGTCTTTTCATTCTCTTGACAGTGTTTTTCACAGAGCAGAAATTTTTCATTTTAATGAAATTCAGCTTACCAATGATTTCTTTCATGGATTGTGCCTTTGGTGTTGTACCTAAACGTTAACACCAAACCCGTGGTCATCTGGATTTCCTCCTATGGTATCTTCTACGAAATTTATAGTTTTGTGTTTTATATTTGGGTCTGTGGTCCATTTCGAGTTAATTTCTGTAAAGGGTGTAAGGTCTGTGTGTAGATTCATTTGTTTGCATGTGGATGTCTAGTTGTTGTAGCACCATTTGTTGAAAAGATTATCATTTCTCCATTGTATTACCTTTGCTCCTTTGCCAAAGATCAGCTGACTACATTTGTGTGGGTCTATTTCTGAGCTGTCTGTTCTGCTCCATTGATCTATTTGTCTTTTCTTTCATTAACGCCACCCTGTCTTGGTTACTATAGCTTTATAGTAAGTCTTAGAGTCGGGTAGCATCAGTCTTCCAACTTTGTTTTCTCCTTTAATGTTGTATTGGTTCTTTTTTATAATTTCCATTTATCTGGTAATAATTCCTATCTGTTCGCTCATCAAGACAATTTTTGTCTTTTAATGCATTTCCTTTCATTTTTGTTTTGTTTCGCTTTTTGAACATATTTAAATAGCTGCTTCCAAGTCTCTGTTCGATACAGCCAATGTCTGTGCCATTCTGGGCCAATTTCTATTAACATTTTTCCCTTAACTATGAGTCATATAGTCCTGTTTCTTTGTATGTCTAATAATTTTTTGTTTGTGTGCTGGACATTGTAAATAATACGTGCTGGAGACTCTAGATTTTATCTTTCTGCTCCAAAGAATGTTCACTTCTGTTCTTGCAAGCAGTGTAGTTACTAGCTGTTCACCTTGAACTTGTGTAGGCTTGGCTCTATGCTCTGTTAGGACAGGTCTGTGGAAATCCCAGGGTCAATCCCAAGGCTCCTGTAATATGATGGAACCAACTTCCAAACTCTGCCTCCCCTCCAGACCTCATAGGACCTGGTTTCCAGCTTTGTCACAGTAGGTCTAGAGTGGACCTTGCCTAAAGGTGTGATCCTTGTTCCTGAGGCTAGGCCATGTGGCATCTCAGCTGGCCTTGTGTTATCATGCAGTCTTTGCATTCGGCCCAGCTGCACCTGAGATCACTGTTGGTCTCTTGTGTCTATTCTGTTGAACCCTGTAACAGCCACTGTCGGGTAAACCTGATATGGTGCCCTGAGTGTGCATAGCCCAGCCTCACGCAGGACTCATGGGACCACACATGGCCGTCAGTCCCTCCACCAGCTCCCTCCATGCCGCTGCCATGTCCCATAGGTTTCAGCTGCTCTAGCTGCCCTACATTGTGACCCTGCCTCCTCAGCCTCACATGGCTGCTATACTCTGCCTGGACTCACGGCCAGGACATATCCCTAGGGAGAGAGCTGCTGGGGTATTTGGAAGACTCATCTAGTCAGCTGCCTTTCCCGCCTGTTGTCCAGTGCCTGAACACAGTTGCTTAGTATATTTTGTCCAGTCTGATGGTTGTTTACAGCAAGAGGACTGGTCTGGTACCAATTAGTCCGTCATCGCCACTTTCCTATTGTTCTTGCTTCATGAATGATAAGAGTGTTTATTTGTTGAACAGATATTCATTGCTCTTTGTTGTGAATTATACTCTTTATCATTGTTAAGTATGGTATATAGTCTGCCTGAAAACTTTTGACTCTGAATTCCATCTTTCCTAAGATTGGACCCGTTTCTCTTATCTGCAGTCACCTGGTATATCTTTGCCAGTCACTCTTTTGGTGTCTCTCTTATACATAGCACAGATTTGGATTTAACTTTGGAATCCAATCATAAATCTGTTGAGTATGTTTTTATTCTTTGTGCAGAAATAAAAGAACAAATACTAGGACCCGAAGGGACCTAATGTCATTGGAGGATGGGGGAAGGAAATAATGTTCTGTCATTATTTATGGTGGGGTATCAGATAATCTCTCAAGTATGAGGTTGACTATTATATCTTTGCCCCCAAATGACTAAAGAGCAAACCAGTGAACTTAATATCCCATCTCTCTTGCTATCCTCCCATGTTTCTGTTAGTTACATAACCGGTTTTATAGCCATAATCCGCATATTGTTTTAGACCTAATCCCACAAGTAAGTAGATTCAATGTTCTCTGCCAGACCATTTGCTGTAGTTCTCCAGTTCTGTCTTATGAGACTGGGGTTAATCTTCTAGTCCTTCAAAAAGAGCTTATTGGAGCATATTCTTTGAGTTCTTACATGTTCAAAAATGCTTGTCTATTGTTTTTATACTTGAGTGGCAGTTTGGCTGGATATAAAATTCTTGGACCATGCCTCCCTTCACAGCCTTTACAGGCATCGCTCCACCGTCTGCTGGCACAGATATGGCCATAGAACATTCTGATGATAGCCGAAACCTTGCCCTTATAAACTGACTTGATCTTTTTGCCTGACTACCAAAAGGACTTTAGCTATTAAGTTCAATGATTTTCCTAGGCGTATCTTAATATTGACTCTATAGGCTTTCTTTGGATGATAAGACTTCAATTTCCAGAAATTAAAATTGATTTTCTAAATCAGTGAATGCTAGAACACCTCCGCCTATCCTCCATGTTTTCTCTCCAGCTCATTGTAGCCCTTTGTTTCCCTTTCACTTTGCTCACTTTGCACCATTTCTGCCTTCAAGGTCTTGTTATGAGTCTCATCCTACTTTCTTATTCTGTTTCATTTCTTTGAATTTTGCTTCCTCCTCTTTCCTGCACTTTGCCAGTTCATTTCCTCCTCTTTTTTTTTTTTCAATTATAGTTGACATTCAGTATTATATTAGTTTCAGGGTGCTGCTTTGGGTTTTTGTTTTAAAGAGGTAACTGTAATTGCTTCATGAAGTTTTGGTAAAAAAGCTTGTCGATGATTTCCATTTGCTTCCGAGGAATGTTGCCATTTGTTTTTCTGCATTTCTTTCCTTTTTTTTTTTCCTTGTGTTATCTTTGCAGAAATGAGTGATTCTCACTGAGGCCGCTGCAGGTGAATTAGGAGAAAAGGGGGTGCTGGTGAGGGATGGCAAAGGTGACTTCTGGACAGCGAGAGCTTGTGGTACACAGGGTTTGGCCAAATGTAGGATCAGTGGAAGGAAGTAGCCATTTGGGGTTGTCACAATGATGGCAAAGTGCCTCTGTCATTTAGTGTGTGGGGACAGAGATGTCAGATGTCCTGCAGTGCACGACACAGTCCTGTATAACTAAGAGTAGCCGTTACCACAAAGGCAGCCCTGGTTCCCTCTCTGCTGCAGAGGGCACATGTTGAAGAGGGGTCATCACCCACCACTGAGCAGTGTGGGGCTGTGGCGGTGCCCAGAGAGAGGCCAGCCCCCGACAGCTGCTGCACGCAAATGGGATATGCCTGTGCAACTTCTTGTTTTGTGCCAATACCTGCCTTCTTCTCAGATCCAGGCTGGGGACTAAGGCTTTGCTCATAGCCAGTGTGATGTGCCCTGCAGCTACTCCTGCAACCTGTGTCTTTGGTGTTGTCCCTCACTCGTCCAGCCTTTCAACCCCTCTCACATTTTGAGGTTTCACTTAGTCTTTTAGTTTTGCAGAAGATAGAATTTTCTTGTGCTTTGGGGGGGTAGATGTGAGGTTTCTCCAGAAAGGAGAAATGCTGACTATATGTTGCCATCTAGCTGGAAATGTTGTCTCTCACCTAGACGCTAGGGTGCAGTGTATTTCTGTGGTTGAGGGGCCCCAGGACCCAGCCCACTGAGATTTCTCCTGAGGGCCTGACAGGGAGGGAATCAGAGCAGTCCCTGAATTCCCCGAAGACTTCATGCAGGGGGCTTGTGCAGGGAGCAGCTCTGTGGGGCCTCAGGAGCTTTCTGAGGGAAGGGTCTGAAGTCCTTTGTCATAACCTGAGGGCTCAGCCAAGGATAGGGGTCAGGCTGCTCCCCCCTGCAGGCCTGCTCCCTGGCGCCCGGGAGGTAGGGGGTATGTTTGCAGGAGTGTGTGGCCATCATGGCAGCCCTCATGTCTCTCCTTGTTCCAGCTGCTGGACCAGGGGTATCCGTGGGTGGGAACCTCTGTGACAGGTCTAAGAAGCCACCTAACGGTTCTCCCTACTGCTCTCGATTGTGTAGGTGTGTGGAACTCACAAACTCACCAATCCTGGGATCTCTGATGTGAAGATCCGGCCAGACCACAAGATCCTGGCCACTGCAGGCTGGGACCATCGTGTTCGTGTGTTTCACTGGAGGACAATGAAGCCACTGGCTGTGCTGGCCTTCCATAGTGCTGCCGTCCACTGCGTGGCCTTCGCCGCTGATGGCTTGCTCGCCGCGGGGTCCAAGGATCAGCGCATCAGTGTCTGGTCGCTCTACCCACGAACATGACTTGCCCACTCCCAATTAAGGACACGCAGATGGCCGGGAGGTGGCGCCTGAGCTTTGACCTGACCTGGGCACATGGAAACCATGCCTCAAGGCTCCCTGAGGATGGTGAGTTGTGGGTCCTCCTCCTTCAATTGTGAGAAGAGCTCGGTCCTTGGAGTCCTCGCTTTCTGCACAACAGTGACTCTGCAGTTTACCAAGAGCAACTGGGCCAGACATCTGGTCATGTATAGCCCGGGTAAGAGGCCAACCTGGGGGTGCTTAACAGTAAACACAGTTGTAAACCTGTAGTCTCGAGGTATGAATTCTCTGAGGCAACCCCCCTGGGTCCCCCTCAGGATCAGAGCCAAGAGTCATCCATGAGCCCTCCACTGGGCAGGGTGGTCAGCCCCCATCCAACAGGGGACACTGAGCCTGGTCCACAGGTCCTGTCGACTCCATGTGGCTCCTCACCCCAAGGACAGCCAGAAGCTCCTAACACACAGGGCTGAGGCCAGGACAGGAGAAGGAAGTGACTAACTCCAAGGTGAGTGAGACAGAAGGAGAGTACTGAGGAGGGACAGCACAGGCAACTGGGCAGAGACCCCATGGTATGGGGCCAGGCCAAAGGCAAGATTAGTGGGAGGAAGGTCCACCTTAAAGAGAACAAGACCAGGGATGGCAAGGGGCCACGTCCCGGGTGACTTCTGGGCAGAAAGTACAGCAGCATTAAGTGAGATAGGCCAGGCCTTCCTGGTGACTAAGGCACAGGTACAGCTGGCACCACACGCACAGGGTAACTGGGAATTAGCAGCCAAAGCAGGCAGTGCACCCAGCATCTCCACCCATGTGTAGCTAAGTCCAGCTGTCAGGGCATCTTTTTTTTTTTTTTTTTTTTTTT